CACCCAGGTCCAACTGAGTCACTGAGAGAACATCTGAATTAAATTTCATTAATTCAGGACTGATATAAACAGTTTTACCTGTATTTTACTTGGAATACCTGTATTGCATTGAAAATCCTTTTATTTCTAGATTACAAGGTTATAGTATGAAAGAGCTGAAAAAGAAAACCTATTAAAACTGTAACGGACAACTGCATATTCATTATTTAACATTTATACTGATTATGAGAGCTGAATCAGAGAGGCATTATAAAGTGAATCTCACTAAATCTCGCTGTTAACTAAACCCTTAAGCACATACACACTCTGCTATGTAATAAAAGGCTAAAATGTAATAAAACAAACTATTGTAAATTTTGACCAGAGTTCAAGTCATAACAGTCAAGCCTGGTTTACTGGAAATTTAAATGGTCCTGTTGCTAAGTCACTAACTCCATTTACTTGAAGTTCGACCTATTTTTTTACAGATGGCAAATAAAAAACAAGTATTTACAGCCATTGTGCATCGTGTATGTTTTGATTGAGATCTGGTTGACTGTAAAAAAATATGATTTGGTTAAATTGTTCAATCAGGAAACTATTTATCTTTCTGTTTCCCAGCAACATGAAACCTGTTTGTATGGGCTCATAAAATAAAGCCCTTTGTACTGTAATTTATGTATGATGTCTTTTTTCCACTAGAGGCTACAGAAAAGGTGTCTTCATGAAAATATGAATAAAAGGTTTTGTTTTTTTTGTAAGATATACCAGCATGTGCTGCTGTCCATTTTATACCAATGCTGTCAGAACAGATCAATTTACATTTCAGAAAAGATTCAACCCAGACTGACTTAAACTCTGATTCTTGCCCAGAGGAACTGATGTTTACTCATGTAAAATACTCATCACATTTGACAACATCCAATAACAGAACACGGTTTTTCCTTGTTAGATAAATGGTAAATCACTTATTTTGATCTAATGGATATACCCTTTTGTTGCAACAACAGAATTTGAGTCAAGATTTTATATGACTTGTGAATTTTGCTGCCACCTGGTGATACATAACAGATAACGATTCAGTAAATAACCATATGGTAGGGATGTTTTTTTTTACATTTCCTCTTTTGACAGCTATACACTCTAAAAAATGCTGAGTTAAATATAACCCAGCGCTGGGTAAAATATGGACAAACCCAGCTATTGGGTTGTTTTGACCCAGTGGTTGGGTTACTACCCAGAAGGTTGGGTTAAACATTTAACCTAACTGCTGGGTCAAAACAACCAGTGTAGAGGTAAATGGCATGTCCTTTGAAAAACTCAAAACTATTTTCCCTTTTAATTTTATTTTGCAATTGTATGTTAATTTCCTTAGAAATTAAATTCAGTAAAATGAATTAAGAGTACACGTTAAGTATTTAATTTTAATTAAAGTACAAACTCCTAAAGTTAGTTCTAAAACACTAGTTTGGTAAATGGCAAAGCAACTACATTTTTTACTAAAACGTTGGGCATACTTTAATACATCTAATTCAAACAATTTGCTTAAATATTTTGCAAAAAATGCATTCTCTTCATATTACTTGTTGCAAAAATTTTCAAATTTGTCATCAGCTTATTATTATTATCCTCATTTCTTACCTTTGAGATGTCATTTAATTTGGCCATAACTGAACAAGAAAAAGTTACATTATACTGTACACAATGGCATGAATGCTCTTTTTAAATCCCATTTTCATTCACACACCTTCTTCTCTATCTTCATGTGACATACCCATAATTAAGTCGATTCAAAAACACATTCCTATACATATTCCAAGGGAATCACATAGATTTTTTTTTTTCCACATCACAACCTCAGGAACATCATTACCGAGAGTTGAGTAGACAGAGCATGAAAAAAACCAAACAAAAACATTCTCATTTCCTACTGTATTAACTGGCCTAATGTTACCCCACTAACCTTATTTGGACAAATGTTAAAATAGGGTTTGTTTTATAACAAAAGGTTTTTATTGGCTTACCTAATCATTTATAAAGTCATCTGACACGTACAGCCCTATGACAAAAATTAGACTGAAGTCGGGACAATATATGCTACAAACATTTGGTGCAATAGTAATCAGAGGAAAGCCATAAAAATTAAAAAAAAAAAACTTCATATCATGCATTAGAAACAAAATGAAAACAAACATTTTTTTAGTGTTTTTGTACATTATTGTAAACAAAGTCTCTCTAGAAATCATATCAAAACACATGGCAAGTAACAAAAACAAGGGAGATATGAGACAAATCATGAAAGTCTAGGGATTACTCTACAATGAAACACTGCTTGGCATCACCGCTTAACAGAAAAAAAAATGAAATTGTACTCCAACAAATTAGCTTTATGTAAACACGGGTGGCTTTATATGATTATACAATAAGCTGACACATACTACAATATTTTCACTACATGAAACATGTCCCTGGTTTTCTTATTTTTACAGTGATATGAGGTATTTTAAGGTCAATCCTACTCTTCACGCCACTCTTTTTTCTTTTTTTTTTTTCTTCATTCTATAAAAGCAAGGAACAAGTTTGGAGTGCAGCATTTAGACTTTGTTCTTGACACCATCAAAGCAATGGCATTTCTCTGGGACAGGTTTCCATGAAAGGCAAGGGAGAAAAAAGGGCAAGATCACAGAAAGGCCTCACAACAGACAGTCTTGCTGCATGGGCCAAAAAACAGGAAGACAAAGAAGCCCACCACTCTTTCTAAGGGCATCAAAAATTGCATTGGAAAGAAAACACCTCGTCGCAACATCAAGTCCTTCCCTAATTCACAGCTCATTCCATAACAAAAACACCACAGGTTTAGGTCCTTCCGATTCACTGGGTTCTTCTCCCTGCAATAATTTAAATGGGAAGCTTGCAATGTTTTCAGGCATGAAATTCAAAACTACGCAATAAGAGGTAGAACTCCAATTGTTGCTGTTCAGCCCAAGTCAAATAGTCATGATACCTGAACACCTTCAGAGCAAAAATGCTTCAGAGAAGCCCACAACTATATATATATA